TGGTCAATTGTGTGTAAGAGAGAGAGAACTAGGCTTATAAAGGCTTGAAAGGTTACCCTAACTCGAGCCCTTTTTCACAGGGCTTATTAGAATCAAATCCTCAAACTCAATTATTTTAAAAAAAATTAATTTTTAAAGCTTGAATTCTTATTTAAATAGGATCTTCAGGCCTAACCCTAACTTTAGTATTGGCCGACCTAAAATGTAAGTTTGGCTATTCACTTAATTGGGCTTAAATTGGCTGGCCCAATGGGCATTGCTTGTTTTCTTGCCTATAGTAGTATTTTTTTCTTTTTACCATATTCTAGTATTCAGTTCAATTTGATTGTTTTTAAAATTTGGATTCATATAGTTTGGTTCGGTCTATGGATAGAAAATCTTAAATATTTTTTTAATATGGTCCAGTTTGATATTTTAAAAATTCTTTTTGAAAAAATTACATTATAATATAAGAGTTTATTTGAGAAATTTTTAAATAAATTGGGTGCACTGTCTTATTTGTGGTCAGCCTTCAACTTATAGTTGGTGTCGCCTTCAACTACACACGTCACTTGCTCGGTTGGACAATTGTCATCTCTTCTTCCTTGAATCATGGGCTTCCTCTTATTAAAACTAAATTTCACGCAATTTTCTTCCTAATCCTATATAATTCCCAGGATGTTGTCACTAATTTAGACTTGGATTTTTTTTTTTGAATTATTTGTATTCTTCAAGAATTGAGATATGTGATGAGGTTGGGATTATTAATGGTTGTTATAATATTGGATGAGGGATAATCGTTATTATAGAGATAAGGAGTAAATCTAAAGAGGTTGAGATATGAGACTGTAAGGGGGTAAATGATTGTGAGAACGATCAGCCATCAATGCAGAGGAGAGGGTTGATGAAAAAAGATTAAAATAATCCATTCAAATTGAATTTTAGTTATTTTCCAAAAAAAATAAATAAAATAAATGCCAAGTGAGTGCTAGTTCAGATTAAAATCTTGTGGGGTGTTATGTTTTGGTAAGTCAAACTATAAATAAAGTAGTATACCCACTTTATTTAAGAATTTTTTGAGTTTATTTTTATTATAAGAACCACCATAAAATTAGATTGAATGGACAAAATATGTTCAATGTACTACCTTTATATCTTGTTAAAAAAAATGGCAAAAGTATCTCATTAATGCCTTAACTTTGTATAATGTTTCACTTTAATTTTTTAATTTTATAAAATATTTTTTTAATTTTTTAACTCTAACATTATTAGTTTTATTAATAAAATATTTTTAAATATCAATACATTAAATATAATTTTTAAAAATAATAATAATTGATACAAAAATAATTATTTAAAATTAAAAATATTAAGACTAGACGATTGAAAAGAAAATCCAACACGCATTTTAGCTAAAAAAAAATCTAATATCTCATTTTACAAAAATCTAAATCCCACTTTTTTATCTAGGAATGCTTACTTCAATTGGTTAAAAAAGTTAAATAAATTTATTTTAAAACTTGAGATATAAATCTTGAAATGAGTAACCATGTTAAATGAAAATATCAATCTTTTTACCTTCTTCCTCTCATAGCGGGCGTTGACGATGCAATGAAAAAAAAAAAATCCACCTTCCTCTTTTCTCTGCTGTCTCTCAGCCTTGTTTGGTTCGCTTGAAATTAGAGTTAAAAAATGAAACAGGAAATGGAAAAGTCCATTGTCCTGTTTGGTTGGGATAAAATATGGTTTTTGACTTTTTAAAAGATAAATTTTGAACAAAATTCTAGAAAATGGGTTCCATCATCTATGACCGACGAAGTGGAAATTTTTCATGGAAATTTTTCATTTCCTTGAAAACTTCTTCTCATCCGTGTTTCGTCCTCGTTGGGAAAATCACCACTTTTCTACTTATCATTGAGCGGCAACTATAGCTAGAGTCATTAATTAAAATCAAGTTAATCAAGCCGATTCTTTTAATATTAAAAAAAATAAAATTAGGCCACTTTTTTAAAGGGTAAAATAATAAATTAGGTTTTTAAACTTAAAAATAAAAAGATTAATCTTTTAGGGTTAGGGTCAGCCCTTTTAGATTCTTTTTATATATATATATATATATATTCAAATTTAATATAAAAAATAAACACTATGAAGTAAAAGGATTAGAAAATGAAAAACTCTAGCTTGCCTCCCTCATAGACATTTGATTTCTGTCATTCACGCTCCTTACATGGTTTTGAATTGGAAGATAACTTACTGGTATTGGTTTACTTTAAATATTTCTGCATATTTTAAATATATTGAAATTATGTTTTTGGTTTATTATTTGTTGTAGATAATTATGAAGAAGAAGGAAGATATGAAAAGCTTAATATTTTTACCACTAGTGAGGCTCTACTAGAAGAAGGATTAAATTTTATTAATGTTGATGACAATAAACATTATTAAAATTTAGCTAATGATGTTAGTAAAGTTTAATTATTATCAGTGTTAATTTTGTGATATTGCTACTTTTGACTAGAGTTCAATTTATTATTGTGTGTACTATCTTAAATTTATTTTTTAGACTTGATGTTATGTATAATAACTTTTTTAAAATTTTTAAAATTTTTAAATTTAAAAAAATTATATAGGACTGCAGCCTTAAGGGTCAGCTTTTTAGCTCTGAGAGCTAGGGTCAGCTGGTCAAAAAAGGACTCTAAGGTCTAATCAAACTAAACAGGACTAGCTTGTTTAGGCTCTGACCTTTTAAACATTGGCCCTTTAAAATCGGGTTGGGCCGACCTTATTTGATATCTCTAAATAGAACTAATTATAAACCTGGTCATCCATTTAAACTTATAAAAATAAGAGTTTGGACTTGCAAAATTAATTGACTTTGATAAACCTTTAAAAAAAGGCTAGAGCCTAGAGTCCTGGCGACTTGTTTTCTTTTTTTCCTTTACATATCAAAACGCACTGTGTATAAGAAAAGAGACCTGAGCATCATTTCTTTTTTGGCCAAAAGAAAACTAGGCTCCACAAGGCTCTGCAGACTGTCATTCATTCCTCTTCTCCACGCTCTTGGACTTAGTCTAGGCCAACTATTATTCTTCTTCATCTCAATAGCTCAACCTTTCCTCCCTTTTAGATCTCAATCTTTCGATCTTGACAGAAGACTCATGGTGGTCTTGCCCATTGTCTCCTCAGATTATTGCCCTCTTCCCTCACTATGCTCACTTGTCGGCCAGCTCCATCTAGACAGTGGATTGCTATGTGCTCTCGATGGACTTGCCGCCACAAGTTGCTTCAAGTGCTCGCTATTGTTCCTCATGGTATGTTTTGTTCCCTGTCTCTTTAATGTTAAGCAAGGTGCAGAAAATGGATTGTGATAGAGATAAGATTGTTGTAAAAAATAGTTGTCAATATTAAAAAATGAAACTTTCACAAGAACTTCTGTTTAAAATAGGGCACTCTCAATAGAATACGATTAAATGCAGTGGCATAAAATGGCTGAAAAATTATTGTAGGGGCTGCAAGAATGACATCAGTGGATTGCAATTCATAATAATTCCATTTTGTTTTTAATAAAAATATAATTTTTTGGTGGTGGTTAAACATGGCATAGTTTCAGAAGTAGATAGAAGATGATAAAGGATTCATCAACACCCAAAGCAAATTGGTGATTGAATTGTGTGTCTGAATCACCAAATGTTAATTGAGATTTACAAAATGGAATGTAGAGACCAAATTTCTTGTGTTAGCTTACTCTGTTTGAAAGCATTTAGAACAAGGATTCATGGAGCAATTAATACATTATCTTATAAAGGGATTCATGTATGTTTTTTTTTTCTGCTTTATTAAACATTTGCATGTCACTTGTAAAATCAGTCTCTATACAAATAATATAACTGCCTTTCCTTCATCGGGTCAAGCTGCCAAACCAGCTTAAGCACGTGTTGATGTTTATGAGCTAATCATATACATGAATTTATGTTTCAGTCATGAGTCTGATTTGATTTCTGAAACTTTCTTTAATCTAGTTATACCTAATAAGTTGTTTAGGATTTGAATATGTGCAGATTTTGCAATGAAAATAACATTTTATTTATATTTGAAATGAAATGATTTTGTGCAGGTTTGATATTTTTCACTTTAAAATCGGGTTCAAATATTTATTTATAAATAACGATGAGGAGGAGGATTTAAATTTGAATGATGAATATTCTAATTAATATAGTCTTCTAGATGTGTGATGTTTAATTTCTTGAATGTTATGGGAATCTTGATTTGTTTTATTTTAAATTTTAAAATATTTTAATTAATTTATAATATTTAATTTTATTTTAAATTTTTTTAAATAGAACTTATTGGCCTGACTCTGAATTTTTGAATAAGGGCTAGGTCTTAAAAAATGGGTAAAAAATAAGAAACAGGGCCAAGCCTTAAAAAATAAGTAAAAAAATAAGAAATTGGTCTTATGGGTTAGGCCCTCACTTGTATCTCAATTCTAGCGACAACCACTTTTTCATCCAGCCACAACTACCATCTTGTCGAGTTGTCTAGCCATCGACTCACTTTCAACCTAGCATTTTCATGCTTGAATGGTTAGATCATTGCCCAATAAAAAAAATTGGGAGAATGACATTCAAGACCTTCAAAAGGGAAATTATTATAATAAAGGCTTATCAATTTTTGCATTAAATATTGTATTGTGAAAATACAGATATGTTGTAAAAAACTGAATCTTAACTTATAATTTTGGTTGAGGTTTTTAAAATAATTTAATAAGTTAAGGTTCAGTTTTTCACAACAACGTGTCCGTGTTTTTATAATACAATATTTAATACAAATAAGTTCTTATTGTAATAATTTTTTTTTGTTAGGCCTTCAATGTCATTTTCCCCAAAAAATTTGATTCAACAATTTAGTTTTAGCCATTAAGCCAAATGGACCCGCTTTAAATCGGGTTTTTAAGACCTGGAAAAATTGAAACACTAAATGGGTTTTTGTTGGTACATGGGTCTTTTAGATGGGGCAAAATTGACATTTTGAGAGTTGTAAACCCTGCAATTGTGAATCTGATAGTAATCGTGCAGCTGAGCTCTCATCTTCTTAGTCTCACTTCTCAATCTCCACAGCTGCCGGAACGGATTCGGATGGCGTCAATCGCCCATGGCCTTCATTCCACCCTTCTTCATTCTTAGTCTTCTTCGTCGCTTGCCCTCATCTTGCCCTGTGAGATTTTCTATATCTTTCACTCTCCATTTATCTCTCTCCAAATTAACCCAATCTCCATAGTCCGTTTTATGTGTCTGTCTTTCTCGTGACAGACTTTGAGATCTTTAAATCAACGGCCACATCATTTTATTTTTGGTTTGATTTCTGAACACCTCTCTGTAGTCTGTAGTTCCTTTCTGTTTTCTGCTGGTCTTGGATTGCCCCGTTAGTTGGTAGGTGTTGCGGAGGTAGATTGGTTATTCATATTTTTGGGAATTTGGTTGTATTCGCTTGTAATTCTATTATACTCTCTTATCAGTTGCTTTTGGCTGTTGGTATGTTTTGTGACTCGTGATATTTAGTTGAAAGCAGTAACTGGAAGAAGCGAGTTATTGTTAGATGAAACGAATTTGAAAATGCAGATTTATCCCTTCACCTTTGAAAAGTCTTACTTCAACGGATCAAGTACTTGTTTGGGTTGCTGGATTTTCAAATTACTGGAAAATCAAAACAAACGCTTGAATACCATTAAGTCTAGCATCAGTTCTGATTGATGGTTGTGCTTGGATGTTTCTTTCTGTCTCTTTTAAATGCCTTTTTTTTTTTTTTACGGTGCAAATGTGGATGCTTTCGAGCCTAACCATGCTTGGATTAATGAAGATCCACCAATTTTTGACCAATGATGAAATTATTACTTATAAGTTATAATATTATGGATTTTGTATTGATTTATTACTTTATTGACAATTTTGCATATTGTGGTGTGATCGTGCTGGCAGCTAGAACATGTGAATTTGTGGTGCTGTTGTATGAGTAACTTGATATATTGTGATTTTTTTGTCAAAATATTTATTTCTTATATATATATATAGATATATACATATAAATATTATTTTTATTTAATTATTAGGTTATCGATTCAATTGCCGGTCCAACCAGTTGAACTATGAGACCTGTGGCCCACTGACATTTCTTGTTCATTATTTGGTATGGGTTTTAAAACATTGGTTCACCCCAACTAGAACCCAAAACTCTGAGTGGTTCACACCGTCCTCCAAATCTTCTTCCGTTGAACACCATCGGTTTCTCCTCATCCTTTGTTGTTCCCTCACTCCATCACAGTTGCCTACTTGATAATTATTTAGAATTGCAGCAATTAATCTATGGATGGTGAGGTGTGGGGATGTTCTAGAAGAGAGGACAGCAATGATGAAGTTGTTTTGCAAGACTCTAGCGACGAAGAAGAACATCACTTTTTGGCTGGTTCCATGGCCAAGTTGCAGTTTCGGTAAAGGATTTTGGGTGAAGCAATTAGTTTCTCTGGGCGTGTATATATATATATATATTCGTAACAACAATTAATCAAGTATGGTTTTATTTTTCTTGTGTTTTGTTTTTCAGGTCTGTTAAATCCAAGGCTAGCTGGAACGATGAAATGGGAATGGCAGAAGTTATTGAAAAGAAAGGCAAACTGTGGGTAACAACTGGAATAATTCGTGAGGGCAGGACATATTGTTCAACTGAGGAGACTTTGTAGGTGGTGTGCCAATCTTTTTCTTCATTGCCGCTGTTTGTGAACTAGAAAGGGACAACTATCTGGGAATTACTCTGATCAATGTTTATAAACACTGTCATAGTCAAATGATGTCTGAATCTGAAGATTTGTTTGAATTAAATTGTTAATTAAAAGTAGCAGACATGTATGAGTAGTATGGAGATTTGGTAATGTTCTGTAGGAGGAATTGTTTGAAAATATAATTGGATGTGTGTGTGTGTGTGTGTGTGTATTCATGGGAAAATCAGATGTTTCGAAATCTTTCTTGGTTATATTGTGTCTGATTTGGCAGGTATTTGATGGAATTAGGAGCGTTACATATCTTGGATAATTGTGATATGTGCATACCACTAATAGACATATACAGGAAGGTCGCAGGCAGGGAGGATGGATGCTGTTGGGAGCTGTTTGAGGTTTACAAGCACCTTAAATCTCTTGGTTATATAGTTGGACGGCATGGTGTTTCTTGGAGTATGAAGGATACTTCAAAATCTGGCCATAAACCTGTTGCTCTTGAAGACACTGGAGAAAAGAATCAATCAATAGACATGGGTTCCAGAGATGAGAAATCCTTAAATAAGTTGTTCAGTGAGATGCATATTAATGAATTGAGGCCAGATTTTGATGTTTATCTCCCAAACAACAGGTTTCGAAAGACTTCTCCTGGTGATCCGACTTTTCTGCTCCACTTGTCCAGGTAATTTATAGTTCTTTAATTGTATCTGTTTCATTAATAAGCTAAAGAAATTTCATTAGTTGTTGATCCAATAGCTGGCCTTTCTTTATTTGCTTTGATTTTTTTTAATATATAAATAATAATGTTGTTTTGAAATCAAAGAATATTGAAAAAGGCTTTTTCTCCTTCATTTTTTCAAGTGTCACGGACCTGTTATGCTGTATGAACTACTAATTATGAATTAAAATTAGAGGATTTTACTCCGTGGAGATCCTCCTTTTTTTTTTTTTTACATATTTAATGGGGTGCTGATAATGATATAACTCATCTCATTCTTCTTTGTTGTACAATAATTTAATAGATCCCACTTCATTTGTCATATTTCTCATTTAGTTAAGTGAGTTTACAATATTGTATAATTAATTTATTCAGGTGGTATAGTGAATCACAGATTGACTAAGATTTTAAGTATAGTATGACACCATCGCTTGCATTTTGCACATTCTCACACTTGTATCACACTCAGGATGCCATTGAGAGGTATGATTGACATGTCATATCTGTGTTTTTATTACTGGTTTGGTCTCCCTATTCTTTATAGATCATTTTGTAAAAAGATTGTGTCATTCTATATTGTTGGACGATTTAGTGGTGGTGGTTAAGGTCATGCCTAAGAAATTTGTGAAACCTATATCTTAATACACTCGGGAGTGATGGATATTCACAGGACCTTGAGAATTTGTGACTCGCTGGAGGATTGCATCAACTTTTGTTCCTCTATCTCACCCACGCATAACTATATCTGAATTTTGAAATAATTCTTGTTTTCATTTGGAAGGGGCCATCCGCCATCGCGAGAAGAAATTGAAGTCCTTGAGAACCAATGCGGTGAGATTCCGCTAAAAATTTCTGTGGTTGAAGATGGACGGGTCAGTTTCTTTTCGTTTGACAAGGTGGAGCTTCCTGTTCTACCCTGAATTTTATTCTATTTTGTTTCTTCTGATTTGTTATTGTTGGCTTAGCGGAAAAGAGGAGCATAATGAAATACTTATGAAGCTGGATATTGATGGTTATGAGCATTGAGATAAGCTATGTTCAGTTAGAATCCTTTAGTGAAACAGTCGCTCAGTTCTATTTCGGTAAAAAAAAAAAAAAAACGGACTGACTGTTCCAAAAAAAAAAAAGGAAAAAGAAAAAGAAACAGTCTTCTGTTTCGCAAAGCTATGAATGCTCTTTTGGCGGTGTGCATATTAATATTATCATTTTAGTTGATTCCAGCTGGAATTCTTGGTTCATTGACCATTAAAAATTGAGATGGCATATTTTGGCGATCAAAATGTTTAAATTCGTTTATGTCAGTTGAGAAATTTGTGGGAAGCATGAATATGGATGAATTTCTCTTGTTCATCGCCTACACAACTGGTTCTGCAATCCTTTCCAAGTACAAGCCCAAAGTGTCTGAAGAGGGTAATCATGCTTATGGAATTCTTACCCAAACGGAGCAAGTTGTGTCACTGAATTACAATATTTTGTCAATTACATTTTGGATGAAAAATATTATTTTAATATCAATATCTATTAACACAATATAAAAATATACAAAGGTGTTCTACTTGCAAGCTAAAATCAGTACAACTTGTTTTAATTTTATATAAATATATATTGGGCTTCCAAATACGTCAAAATTTCCACTGTCAAATGACCCAAGAACATGCGTCAGCATTAGAATAAGATTCTTTTATACTATCTTAAATGCTTTTTCCTTGCAAGTAAAACGTGTCATGTGATGTGAGTAAATGTTTCAGATTCAGGGCCCAAAAGATTAGTGTTCATTTGGATTTTAATTGTCAAGAATTGATTAACAAAATTTGATGATGTTTGGATAATATTTTTTAAAATTGATTTTGATAATTGAAAATGTTTGAATAATTTTTTACAATCAATTATAAAAAAGGGGTGAATAGAAAATGTTCAAATGTTAATAATTGATTTTGAAATGGAGAAAAAAAAAATAGCTTATGCCAAGTGAAATGTTACAAGGCAAATGGAATTTAAGAAAATTGGGAATGTTTGTATAAGATTTGTTTTTAAAAAATCATAATTTTGAATTCAGAATTGATTGTAAATGTGTATCCAAACAAGCCTTGAAGTGTTGTGGTGAGTTCTAGTGGAGAGAGATCCATCAGGACAGATACTCTGACCTAAGCTGATAGCCTGATAATGCTCATCCTCATCAATACTTCAATATGCCAGAAGAATTAAAAAGAAAAAAAAAAGAGGAAATATAACTACATTCATTGAAAGTATATTTTCATGCACATTATGATTAAAAAATTATTTTTCAAAATTATAGATAACTTATAATTATATATTATTTTTAATATTAAATTAAGAAAGTGATTTAAATTTTGAAACAAAATTAAAATACTGAACACTATGGTTTAATTTATAGATATTTTTAATATTTTAAGATGTAATTAATGTATTTTTTAAAAATGTATTTAACAAATAAATTAATTTATATTTATTTTTAAGAGAAATGTCCTATCAAAAAAGAATGAATATAAAAAGATGATATTAGTTTGAATTTTAAAGGCAATTAATTAATTTATTATGGGTGTCATTAGACAAAAAATTCTTTACAATTTGAAACAGAAGTATATAATTATATATATATATATATATAATTTATTTTGGCAATATCAAGCTAATTAGATAAATTGAACGCTACGGGTAAGAGCATCAGAATCAATGACATCCCCCACTCTTTTCTAATATTTTTTTTTTTTTTGGGAAACTCTTACTTCAGGGGTCGTTGTGCAAAGAATGGTTGAAAATAACTTATAGTTGAAGGGGCAAGAAGCAAATTGAGTGGGAATTTTACCTGAGATGTTCTGTTCTGTCACAGCGTTTAGGGTTTAAGCAGGGCCTATTTTTCCTTCTTTCCTGTTTCGGACAGCAGAGCCGTTGTTCTGCTATAGCATTAAAACCCCGAAACCTTGACCCTAGAAATAAATCGATGATGGACAAGAGCATCTTTGGAGACTTGGACTCTCTTAGTGGAGAAGATAAGGAAAAAATGTCTGCCAGGATCGATCAGTTCCAAGCTCGAGAAAGGTTCTCTCTCCCTCAATCACTCACTCTCAATAAATACATAAATATCAGTTTCTAATCTATGAATGCTTCTGCTGTCCTTACATTTTGAAATGAGAATAACCCATGTGAATCATCAAGCAATGGGTGGTCAAGTAAAATTCGTCTTTGGGTTAAAACTTGTTTTGCGCTAGTTAATTGAATTGACTGAGGAGAAATGATGATTTTAGTTGAAACGTTGATGTTATATCTCTATTGAGTATTGTTTATTGTTGTTCGCGAGTGGAATCTTATTTGCCCATTAATATGTTGGTGTTCGTTAATAGAATTAGATTGATGCTTTGATTATGGAAATGTATAAGATACGAGGATTGCTGAGTAGAACAATGGAATACAAAGTTATGAAGCAACGACCAGCTAAATATATAAATCATTAGTGTAGTGTGTCTTGTAAGTGGCCATTGAAGTTATGAACTAATTCTTGCTTTGATTTCTTTCTGTCACTTGATTTTGCTTATTGATCTATGTCATGTAGAACAATCATCTTTTCCAGTGCAGAAATTTATATTGAGGACGAACAAGTTTATTCATGTTGGGTAAAACAGCAAGAAACGGATCAAAGGATTTGTATAAATATAGGAAAAGAACTAAATAGACTTCTTCATCTTTAGGTCACTTGCAAACAGTTCATCTGTCAGGGTAGCACAAAACTAGTTCCTCAGATTCTCGTTTTTCGGTATTTAAAACCTTCTTCCCATTTCCGCAAAGAAAATACTACTTCCGATTGTTTTTCTTGGTGTTTTTTTGGAATGAAAATGAGATACATAAATCAAAAGAGATTACACATAGTTACACAAGATTAATTCCTATCATCATCTACCACCTGACAACAGTAAGATGGGGGTTGAATGGTTGATCAAAATAGTAGAAGCTACCCATTCTATCATTAACATTACAAGCTAAGTGATGATCATAATAACTGGCTTCTCCAAACACAAAATGAAGCTGTTTTTCTTGGTTTAAAAATGAAAATGGTGCTTAAAATATTAAAAGAAGACTTATAATGCTGAAGGATGATGGAAGCCTGGAGTTGTAATTTTTGTTTTATTAAAATTGAACTAGTTTTTGTTAATCACTTAAAAGTTGTAGAGCTGCATTTGTATTGTTACCATAAATATATTCTATTTTTGGACAATAGTCTTTAACATATTAGTTGATGGTTTAGAGGACAATTTGAATTAATACTTTATGATTGGACTTGTATTTGAAATTTTCTACACCAATATCTCACTTGACTGCAAGCTTTCAAGCAAATTGGCATGTATTCACTTGATCCATGGCTTTTCCATATGGAAGCATGTTTTATCTTTTTTTCAATAAAACTGGAGTCATTCTGTCTTCATTGGAACATGTGTTGGATATTAGTATTGATTTATTCTCCACTAAAACAAAATTACAGTCTAAGGACCTATAATTCACTAGTAGAGAGATGTTTTGTGGACTGCGTGGATACATTTTATCGACGATCCCTGACCAAGAAAGAAGAAACATGCGTTCGTAGGTGTGCTGAAAAGTTCTTGAGGCATTCAGTTCTTTTACGCTTGAGCTTTGCGGAACTCAATCAAGGGGCAACTACAACAGATTAAGGCGTTTTTGTATATTATCACTCATAGATTTTTTGTACTGCCGTGTATTTTTCTCGACTTTAACCCAAAAATAGTTGATGATAAGTGAAATTCCTTTAGTTAGGAAATTCAAAGAAAGTGAAATTCCTTTTGGATTAGTGAATTTGGATTTGCATTTTGGATTTAAAATATCACATCCATGTATTTCAAATTCATACACATAATAGATAAATCCAAGTTCATAAATTTTTAAGTGCTCAAACAAAAGATTTGGTTCAAATTTAAATTTAAATTTACATGTATCCAAATATAGCAATGGTTTTAATTTCACTTTTATTTTTTGTAATGAGCTCTTCTGCATTTTTAGAAGATCTTTCTACGTTTTGTTCCAATGAACTTCTCTCTTGACATACAAGGTATTTCCATGAATTATATTTTGTTGAGTCTCTCTTAAGCTGGCTCTGAAGGATAAGTTTGGATTTAGATTTGAGAACAAAATAGAGAAGGGAAGAAAATGTAAAAATAAATGAGAGAATGACAATGAATTCTTAAAATGATGAATTAATGATAATTAAGTGTCCGATAAAATTTTTTATAAAATAAATTATAAATATTAATTTAAACAGTTACAAACAAAAATCTATATTATAAATTAATTATTATATTTATAATTTAAATATCATTGAAATTTTAAAATTTATAATTGTTTGAATTAATATTAAAAAAATTATTAAAAACTTAACTGTTATTAATTTTTATTTTGAGACTTAACTATCATTCTTTCCAAATAAATAGTCCCTTCATTATATCATCACTTTTTGAGTTATTTAAGTTTTATATTCACTGAATGTGTTTCTTCTTGCTGAAAAAAAGAATCAACTGAGTAACATATTTCTTTCTTCATGAAACAAATTCTAGAATTTATTTATAATTTTTGAAAAATACAATTTGTTATAGGTTTTATATTGATATTGATTTTTGTCATTTTCTTTATTCAGCGAAAGTTTTTGAATGCATGAATAAATAAATAAATAAATAAAGAGAAGAAAAGAGACGAGCCTGTGCAACTCTGGCAAGACTCATTAAGTTTTATTTTTCAAAAAAATTATAAATATTTAAAATTTTTTATATATTTCACCAAAAAAGAAGGCACAGATTGTAGGTACAGACGAGAATACAAAAAATTGACCCAATTCTGTCCATGAACATTCTGTTATAAAAAACCTAGTCCATCTTTAACCACCCTCCTCAATTTCTTAGAGAAGAGGAGGGAGGGAAGGAAAATGATCGATTGAATGTACATTGATCCTTGTAGCTAGTGCTATGAATGAATCATCTTTTCACCAAAAAAAAAAAGAAAAATGATTATAAAATTATTTTGAATTATATAAATGATAATTTGATCTTTCAAAATTCATAATTTCACTAAAGTTTTTAGAAACTTATCTATCATTAATGAATTTATATAAATAATTAAATTACTCTTATTGAAAATAAAATAATTTATAAAATTTGTTTAAATAATCATGACTTTCCTTCTCATATTTGCAGTAATGTAACAATAAATTACAACTTTGCATATTAAATTCCTAATTTGTTATTATATTATTGTGAATATAAGAAGAAAAAGTTGTGATTATTTAAATAAAACATGTGAAACATTTTATTTTCAATAAGAAAAATTTGATCATTTATATAAATTCATTAATGACAAAAAAGTTTTTAGAAATTTCAGTAAAATTATGACATTTTGAATAATTAAATTGTCATTTATATATTTCAGAGGAATTTTATCATTATTTTCCAAAAAAAATCTAATAAAAGTATGTATTATAAAAACTATACATTTTGACCAAAAAATTTAAATATTTAAAATAGTCTGTTTATCATATTGTTAGTTGATCACTTGTATATTTGAAGGTAAGTAAGGAAGGTAGCTAAAAAAATTTTAGAAGAATCAAAAGATTTTGGTTTGAGAGATAAAAAGTTTTGATAGTGAAATGATAGTATACATGATAAAGTCAAACATAAGAAGGAGTATTTTAAAACCATCCATTTATTCAATAATGATAAAAATTAGAAAAAAATATCATGTTGCTAAGAAGAAAATTAAGAAATTGTGAATGAAGCTCATTCTAAAGCATTTTAAGAGTTCTACAATGGTCTTGAAGGATGGAGAATAAAAAATTTATAAGATTGACAAGAGTGAAAAAAGAAAATCAAGAGATTTAGAACTCGCAATGTATATAAAAAACAAAAAAAAATGTTTTTCATCACAGATGGTGATATTAAAGATAGATGAGAGACCAATTTTTTTTTTAAACATTTCAATGATGGAGAGGGTTCATTTAGTAACTTGAAGGATTTAGTAATTTGTGAAGGAAAATAAAATTTGTCATTTTATCGAAAGATACAAAATAGTGAGATAAATGAATCTCTTAAGAAAATGACAAATGATAAAGCAAATATATTTAACTGTATCTCTATTAAAGTGTGAAAATATTTAGGTGAAGAAGGAATATGATGGTTAACTAAGTTATTTGATGAGATCTTACGATCTAAGAAAATGCCTGATGATTGAAGGAGAGGCACCTTAATTCCTATTTACAAAAACAAAGGGGCTATTTAGAATTATATTGACTATAGATGGATTAAACTCATAGTCATACAATGAAATTGTGAGAAAGATTGATTGAGCATACATTGATATTAGAGACTACATTTCTAAGAATTAATTTGGTTTTATTGTAGGTGGGGCAATTACAGAAGTGATTTATCTATTATGGGGATTAACAAAAAATTATTAATGCAAAAGTAAAGATTTACATATAGTTTTTATTAATTTAAAAAAAGTTTATGATCATATACCAAGAGAAGTATTTTTGAAAGCATTGGAAAAGAAAGGAGTTCGGGTTGCCTACATTAAAACTATATAAGATATGTATGAGTGGACAACAACTAGTATAAAAACATTTGGTAGTGAAATAAAGAACTTTTTTACATAAAAATTAGACTACATCAGGGATCATTTTTGAGTTTTTATTTGTTTGACTTGGCCTTAGATGTTGTGATCGAGCATATCTAAGAAGAAATCCCTAAATGCATGCTTTTTGCATTTTTATTGCAGAGATAAGAGAAGAGACGATATTAACTGTAAACTTGAATTATGAAGGAGAACATTAGATTCAAAAGATTTTCATTTGAGTAGGAATAAGATGAAATATTTGCGTTGTAATTTTGATAAGAGGTTAGTTATTAGTAACTTATAAGTGAAATTGGGAGATCAAATTATACTTCAAATGAAAAAGTTTAGATATTTAAAAAGCTATTATTCAATATGATGGGGAAATTGATGGAGATGATTCACATATAATACAAGTTAAGTGGTTTGATTAGAGAAATGTTAAAGGAGTTATTTACGATCATAAGATACTTGATAAATTAAAAGAAAAGTTTTATCAAACTATTATAAGACTAGTTATATTATATGGTAGTAAGTGTTGGGCTTTAATGAGCCAACATTAGAAGTAGTAGAAAAAAAATGTTGAAATGGATGTATAGATATATAAGTAAAGATAAAATTTAAAATAAACACATACAAAAAAAAGGTGTAGCACTTATTAAGAAAAAAATGATAGAATATTATTTGAGATGATTTAAATATGTACAAAAAAAACCACAAAAAGCACCAATAAGAAGAGTGAAAAAGACAATTTTAAATTCTGTTAAGAAGAGCGGAAGAAAGTCAAAGCAAATACTTATAAAAGTTGCTAATCAAAACCTCTTAGTTAATAACATTTTTAAAAATTTAATAAATGATAATTCACAATGGCTTGTAAGAAAAAAGGAAAGAATACAATGATTTTGTGTAATTTATAAAGCTAATTTTATTTAGTGGTATAAAGTTTGTTATTATTGTTATTGGTTGTTGTTGTTTTTCTAATCATTCAAACTTTTTTTTTATCAGCTGGTCCGAACTTATTTTAAATGTGATTTTTTTGACTAAAATTTTAAATGGGAATATCATGATACAAAAAATCTACGAGGTTTACTTTTTTTTTTTTATCTGAACGATTGCAACAAAATGTAAATTATTTAAATCATTTTTATTTCTAAAATTTGTTTTATTTAAAGAGTAAAATATAAAGTAAAACAATCCCTTAATTATTGATAAAAAAATTCAGGCCAAAACAAAACTATGATAGCTAATTGAAATAAAATAAAATAAATATTTATATTATTTATATCAAGTTTAATTTTTTTAGAAAGATAAAATAATATTCATTTCTCTTGTACTTTTTTTGGCCAACAATTGATTTCTCTCGTACACATTGAATTTGAACCCGAACTCGTTTTAATAAATAAGGTCAAATAAAAAAAAAAAGAAAAAGAACTCGTTTTAATAAACACTCTTTAACCGTTGGAACGTTTCATTCAGAATCAGATCTCATCGCAAAACGTCTAGCGATCCCCCTTCCATCTAACGGTCCAAAATTTCCCGCGGTTCCTTACCCCGCCATCCATTTCCCAAACTTGCTCGACTTTTATGTTTCGTTGGGCTTGAGTGCCGTTTGAGTTCAAACTTTTTGTCTCCTTATGCACAATTACCCCGTTAACCGCCGTTAACTGATTGGGTTTCCCTTCTTCTACTACTGACCCGTAAAGCGTAAACCACGATGAGTTGCAGTAACGGTAACCAACGGAGACGTCGGTGATTACATATTCGTTGCACATAAATTTGGCTTATTTTATATTTTGATTGATTTTTTATTTCTGCTTTGCTCCTTTGTTTCAACGGGCGAGGATTTTTCGAAGCCTTAGCTCTCTTGTTTTTCTTCTGTGAGAGATAATCTAAAGGCTCGAATACTGTGGATTCTTCTATTAGCTGGACTTTGATTCCCGCCACTCCTCTGCTAGCAGAGGTGCACAACAATATCGAGCAAGTTGCGAATTTTTTTCTTCTATTTCTTTGGCTCTCATGAATTCAGCTTTATCTTCTTCGGGATTGATCGAATCTTTGCGTCTTTTTTACAATAAAGGATTTTGATTTGTCTCATACTGATTTCGGTTATTTTTTCTGGGTGAAAACCCGAGAATTCTGTGTTCCGTGTGTTGTGATGAGAGTTTTTCTGCTTTCTTTCGTCAGTAATTTTTGATCTGATGACTGATTATAAGATCTGGGTTCTGCTTATCTTTTTATTTCACTGCGGAGGTTTCGAAAATTGTGGGCACTAAGTGGGGGGTTTTTGGAGTCTCTGGTGATAGGTGTGGACACTTTTGTGTGGTGGGTTCCGGAGGTGCTTCTTAGTCTTTTGCCTTAACCGCCCGTTTGTTGATTTAGAATTCTGAGTTTTGGAGATGATTATAGGAGCAGATGGCTGAGGTGAAATCGGAGGAGTGTTGCCTGGAGAATAAACAAACTATTGCTGCTCCTAGCTCCTCTATATCTGAAAGCAGTGGCAGTGCTTTACCTAAGTCCCCTGGAATTTGTAGCCCAACATCTACATCACCCTCTCATCGGTAACACCCATTTAAGTTCAATTCTTTTTCATTGCAGCTATACTTCGGGAATTCCATATGCTATGATGCTACATGGGATTGATTTTTTGTGTCCCGTGTGCTGTACTATTCGTCTTGTTCCTGTCTATTTTTGCTTATAATGTCACATTCTGTTTTAATGGCTGGTTATATTTCTCTACAGTGGTAAGAATTTACATATACAATTCCTCTAGTCTTTGGTGAATTGCTCTTCATCATGTGAATATTTTGATCATGCAGGAGAACTACTGGCCCCATAAGGCGAGCAAAGGGTGGTTGGACGGCAGAAGAGGTTAGTGTCTGGAGACAGTTGGTCCTTTTCTCTCATTTTTCAGTTAGATCAAGCCAACGAAGAAGGGAACTCAGCTTAGTTGATTTAATTTCTATTAATATCCTTGTATATCTAAAAAAACAGCAAAACTTTTTTTTGGTTTTATGTTGTGGTAACTTGAGAGCGTTAGATATGTTAATTGTCTTTTATATCCTCGTGTCTTTGGTAATTTTATATTCCGTCGTTTAAATTGTTCTTAATGTGTTCTTTATCTTGCTATAGGATGAGACACTAAGGAATGCTGTTGCAATTTTCAAGGGAAAGAATTGGAAGAAAATAGGTAATTATGTTTGCTTTTAAGGCCTTTGACTAATATCATTTATTGTTGCTATATTGCTGTGGAGGTATTACGTTCAAAAATTGGTGATGATCCTTACATGTGATTTACCTGATATGGTGGATGTGCATATCTTTTAGGAAAGTGAGACTATTCAAATCTAGGAATCATGGACATGAGACACGATAAAGTTTGAATTGTCGGTGTATAATGTAAAGTGTCATGTAGGGTTGCATTGTGTCTAACATGAGTGACCAAAATGTGTTGGGCACATGCACGGCTCCTTTCTCTAAAATGTCTGTGCATCGTAGGTTTAGATAAATGTATATTTGAAATTACCTCAGATGCTTGCAAAGAAAATTTTAGCTATGTATTACTTGATTTGTTACTGTTGATGGTTATGATCAAGGGGACCCAAAAAGTTTTCACAGTGAAATAAGAGAAGTATATAATTCATGAGAAGTGAGAAAGAAACCTCCAAAATATATTTTGTTAGATATATGTTTCTTTCCACTCTATTGTTTGATCACAATATATAAAGAAAGGAGAAGTGTTGTATTTGTGCAAACTGCAACAATTAGCCTATAGGTTATAGCGTAAACAATATATTCAGTACCAGGTGCTTACTGTAAAAGAATTGCAATCAATTTCATGAAAGACTTAAATTTTTGAATGCAGCTGAGTTTTTCCCTGATAGATCAGAAGTGCAATGTCTCCATAGATGGCAAAAAGTTCTTAATCCAGAACTTGTTAAAGGGCCTTGGACTCAAGAGGTTGAATCATATTTCTTTTTAGGGGTCATTTTCCTTGCAATTTTATTTAAGTGCTAATCTCCGTTTCTTGCTTGGCTTACAGGAGGATGATAAAATTGTTGAACTAGTGTCAAAATATGGGCCTACAAAATGGTCAGTAATAGCCAAGTCCCTGTCTGGTCGTATAGGGAAACAGTGCCGAGAGCGGTAGGTTTACTGTAGTTTAAGTAATTATCACTCATCTCTTATCCTGATAATTGCCGAAATTCAATGCTCTCGAAAATGACTTGTTCTGCCTTTTTTCTGGTATGTTGTCTTCCAAACTTTTAAAGTCTCCACTCTATCACCATGTTCCTATTTTAAAATGATGATCAGAATCTATTATTTTTTATTTGATAACCTCTTTTATCATCTTGTATAGGTTACTTAATGAATAGTGGTGTTTTCTTTTTGTTTTGTTTTTTTCTTCTTTCAATCTTCCCTTTTGTTATGTACTCTTCTGAATGTGAGTTCTTCATAAACATCCAAGAGTTAACTTGGTATCTTTATATGGGCCGCATGATCATTAATTAAAGTTTCAAATATTTACAGATGGCACAACCATCTTAATCCTGACATAAAGAAGGATGCCTGGACTTCGGCAGAGGAATTAGCCCTCATCAAAGCTCATTGTATACATGGGAACAAATGGGCTGAAATAGCTAAGGTTTTGCCTGGAAGGTAGGAATTGAGCTGAGTACCTAATATGATTTGAGCTGAAATAGCACAGTTCATCCTTGGATGGCATGCGTTCTCTTCTCAAGTTTGTATTTTTAAAGAAGGAAATTCAGGTCATAGCTCACAATCAAATGGTGTCATAATTTAGAAGTTGTAGTTTGCTGCCATTTACATGCGTTTCCTTGAAGGAGGATGATGTGCATGTATTAAAACAAAAATGAGGTTGACATGTCATTTGAAGATTACTTGTGTGGTCAATAATACTGTTTATCTGCATGACTTTTCTCCTGTAGGACTGATAATGCAATAAAGAACCACTGGAATAGTTCATTGAAGAAGAAGTCGGACTTTTATTTAACTACCGGACAACTTCCACCAATTTCAAAGAACAGTCCAAAAGTTGATGCAAAAGATAAAATGATATGCTCTGCGACAGAAACAATTCTTGGTAGTTCAAATAAAGGATTAGATGCATCTACTGAAACATTGTCAGAAACTACAGAGATTAATAAGCAAGATGACAGTGGTACGAATCACTCAAGGCATTTAGGAACAGCAACAGATGTTGGTGATTCTTCAAATGTTCTTGCAAATGAATCTGCTGATTCTGACTGTATAGAATGCAAGCCCAAATCCTCCAATTTAGATTTCAGCTGCAGCAACTCAGAACCATTGTCAAGAGACAATTATGGAATGAATGGTGACCAAACACATGGGAAATCTGGACTTAATGGCAAGCTAGCGATTGAGCATTGTATAAATGATGGTGAAATACGTAGTAGTAGGTTGATAACAAAATCTTTTTCACGGGAAGCTCCAACTTGTGGTTCTATATGTTACGAGCCACTGCAGTTAGAGAATTTGGTTCCCTTAGATTCTCTTTATTTAAATATCTTTTGTCTCCAAAATGACTACAGCTCTACTTCCATGATGTCTCCAACTGGTTTCTTCACTCCACCTAGCGTGAAGGGTCGTGAATTTTTCAAACAAACTCCTGAATCAATATTGAAAATGGCTGCTGAGACTTACCCAAATACCCCTTCCATAATGAGGAAGAGAAAGACTGGAGTCCATGCACAAGTCACTCCCAGTAAAGTTGTGAAAGTGGATGGAGAATCTCATGCTTCTAATGGCCAGCAGGGAAATAAGAATAACACTGATTTTGAAGTTGGGAGGTTCTCTGAGAGTCCAGCAAGCCATGGCCATGGCATTGATATTCCAAATAACAAAGTTTTCAATGCATCTCCTCCCTACCGGCTAAGATCCAAGCGAACAACAGTTGTCAAGTCTGTGGAGAAACAACTTGAGCTTGCATTTGACCAAGAAAAGCACCATGGAAACAAGAGGAAAATGGGGAAGTCTACAACGTAGAGCAGCATGATGACACTGTGATGACTGAAGACTATTCACGAGAAACAGAATTATGAGCGGCATATTGCATAAGTAGTAAGTCCTCTCTTTTAATCATTCTCTCTTTTTTGTGATGTACTATTTTTCTGCTTAAATTTGAACGGTATCAGATGAGTTATGGTACACAATGAGAAATCCTGTTGTCTGATTTAATAGAAGCTTAACAATAATAAGGAACTCATCAACTCAATTAACTTGAAATGGAAGATCTTGATGAGATATTTACATGGATTGTGATATTTGATAATTGTTGTAGATGGAGAAATATTTGAGTCTCCAATGACATGTTTTACACTTCTTGCCATGATATGATGTTATAGCTACTTCATATAAATGCCATTGAGATTGAGTATTGTCATTGCTAGAGAGGAAGAACTTTTACGTTATATGGTTGAAACGATTGGTTATGGCTTGCGAACTACTAGGTGTGACTGTCGGTCAAAACAGAAGAATTAAAAAATTGGAATAGTTGTCTTTCTAGCCTGATCTGTTCCCCTCTCCATTTCACGAACGGAGATGTAACTTTTATGATGTTCACCAGGGAGAGATGTAAGTTCTATGAGCTCAGAAAAAAAGTAGTTATGGAAATTGATTATCTCGCACTTTTGTATTAGAACTATCATCATCATCATTATAAATTGACAATAAACTTCATAAGTAGTTGGGTCGTGTCTTCTCATTGCGGGAGGTGGATCATACTCAGGTGTATAGTTGTCACTATTGATTTTTATCAACCAAGAATAGCCTTCAATTTAAAAGCCAGGAAAAAGGGCCAAGCCTTCTTTAAAGGAAATTTTTATTTTGTCAGTCAGAAATATGTGCTACTTGCTGTTTATGGCTGTTTGCTGTTGTTAGTGGATTTGAGTCGGTGTGGGAATTTTGACATCAGATGAGTTTGGCTTAATTTCCACTATCATTTGAATATCCTAACTCCATTCTCTTGCCTGTATATTTCTTTTGGTAGGAGATGATGTCTTCTGGTTGATTTTTTTTTTCTGTTCAATTATCATTGACTAATGATCACATTGTCTTTGAATTGATGTAGGGTTTAAGACTTGCAGTTAGACATTGCCTCTCTAAAGCGGTCAACTGATGGAGTTTTAACATGTTGTAAAAGCTTTTTTTGAATCACAATAAATTGAGCTCTCTTGAAAGTTGAGTTTTGCAAAGAAGGATTAATACTGCTTCAATGAAGGTGACATGCAAGATTTTTCGTTTCACTCGTGAATACATTTCATCAAAGGCAGGGTTCTGGTATAGTAGAAAAGAATTGACGATGGATTCCATTTACTCGTGGATATGCATGTTATACATTGAACATACCAGATTTGTACAGTGACCCTTTATGGGAACTAAGACATTCTTTGAAATAAGAAACACATAATGCATTTTAAATTAGACTGAGAGGTTATTCTTTTGTTTTTTTAATCCTTTTTTGTATACATTTTTTTCAAATGTACGGTAAATGGTTGTGTATCAAAGTTATAATTAAGCGTTATATCGCATGGTAAAATTTATTTTCTTTAAATTTCATTGATATAACATAGAAAAATTATCTTTATTACTTTTATGAACGTAACTTTGGGATGTATCAACAAAGTTTCTTATTACAGTAGTTGATATGCGTGATGGCAATTTAGTTGACTGTATCTGCCAAAACTAAATTAGAAGATTGAACAACGTTTGTTTATATATGTGTGTGTATATAAAACTAAAAAGGATTTATAAAAAGGATTGAACAACGACTTTTGGCCATGTCGGCCTTTCCTCATTTCTTGGGTCTTACTTCTTATTTTACTTCAAATTTTTAACAAGTAGTATCAACATCTTGGACTTCGTTATGGCAGGAATTTTTATAAAGATAATGTTAAACATGCTGTCTGAACTTTGAAGCTCAAAATTGGGTTAGCCGTTGGCCTTGGTTTGATAGGCACTTGTGTGGGGCACATTATTTAAAACCCAAAATTCGACGAGCTTATGTTTTGTCAGAAATTTGTCTGTGAGGTGGCTGATAGAGACTCAAGTTGAAAACTCGTAACCACTCAACGAAAGTAAGGACATGTTTGTTTTTTGTTTTTAAAAATAAAAAAATAAAAAAATAAAAAAAATTATTTGAATAAGTGTTTTTAAAATAACTCACATGCTTTTAGCAATAAAATTTAATTTTAGTATGACTTCTAATACAATTTTTAAAATTATTTTTTAAAATAAAATAAAATGAAAATTCATTTGATTATATCAATTAAAAAATAATTTTAAAATTAAAAAATAGATTGATAGTATAATAGTGATTAATAATAAAAATTGATCAAGTTAATTATAATTTTTAATAATAAAATGTAGTATATTTTTTAAAAAATAAAAAACAAAAAATAACTTGAAGTTGTTCCTATTTTAAGTAAAAATAATTAAATAAAAACACTTAAATAAATAAGTTTTTAAATTTTTCTTTTTTTAAAAAAACAATTATTAAAAACATAAAACAAACATCTTGAAATGTGGGTCCTATTAGGTTGGGTCACTGTGTAGCGTCTTCAATATATGGGGGATGTGTACCCAATAATAACTCATAAGATTATTAAGAAGTCAAGTGCAAGCAAATTTGATTTGACGTCGGATGAGAAGATTTTTAGGATGTCAAGTATAAGCGGATTTAGTTAGATGTGAAAAGTTTATATTCAATAAAATTAGATTTAAGAAGAGAAAATATATAAATAGAAAGATTAGTAAACTAACTTTGAAATTTTTATTTTTGGGGTCATGTCGAGCTTTATTATATGCATCCTCCTTTAAGCCTAATTTGGATTATGCAAATTATTTAACGTTTTCAAAATTCAACATCCAATATAAAAAAAACGCATAATTTAAATTTTAATAGGCAACAAGAAGTTAATAATATCCAATAATTGAGATTGGCAAATGTGCTTAAATATATTTCAGAATGATAAAAAATTTTGGAAAATATGTTTTTGATTGAAGTTTTTTTTTTTTTTTAAACCAGCGTTTCAACTGAGGTTTTACCATCAAACTATTTAACTTCTCATTATAAATTTCAGGGTTATGAGTTTCGTGTAAAAATTCAAACATTTCAGGGGGAATGACATTTTAAGACAATTGCATTAATTGAATAGTAGGGGTTATCACCACTTAAGTAAATTAAAATTAGAGTTCGGGCATCAATTCTTATATATGTAACAATTTAATTAAGAAAAATTTACCTTTTACTCTCAATACCTTAGAGAAAATTATTTTCTATCATAGAGCATACTCATATTATTTGCAAAGCCTACTCATTTTTCATAATTTACGGCTAACTATATAATTATTTAACATGGAATATTTTAATGTAAGGGATAGTTATACAATTTTATATGACTATAAACAACCAGAAGTCCTTTATTGAAATTTTAATTTCTTTTTTGCCGATCTAAAATTAAATTAAAGTTTTAATTTGGCCCCAAAGTGTCATTCCCCAACATTTTAATATGCACTTTGCAAGTCATTAGGAATTTTGAAGCAATATATGGGGAATATCAAAGAAGGACCATTTACAGAATTTATTATCTTATAAGGATTTGGATAGATCAGACACTTATGAAAACAAGAACTTCATTTGTTAATTAATGTTTACTTGTTAGAAATCCTATAATTTTACATTATATATATATATATATATATATAAATAAAACCTAAAGCAATATAAGAGGCTACGCCACGTACACTGCTGAGCTGCTGGGATGGTTAGTGTGGGGTTGACATTGTTAAACGGTGACCCTCTGAGTGTGAGAGGCTGAGGAGGAGTGAGACACGACTTGTTGCAAGAGAAAATGCGACCATCAGATGGTGAGTGACAAATTAAGCGAAGACAACAATTTTTTTTTTCCTTCATTTTTTTCCAAGTTTTTTCTTGTTCATTTTTTTTTCATATTATCTTCCCTCCTTCCTCTTTTATCCAATATTAATTTTTTTTGACCGGATATCTAATATTAAAAATTTAAATGATAAAAAATAATAAACAAGTGTAAACAAGCCACCCCTCAACCCTAAGGCCCTGTTTGGTACGCAAGCTTGAATTTAAAGGGATTGGTATTAGGATTGGTATTGAGATTGGTAGTGGGATTGGTAGTGGGAATTGAGACTTTAAAATTATGTTTGGTATGAGGTAATACTTATAGAGAATAATTATTTTTATTTTATTTTACAATTAAATATAAAGTATGAAAAGACTATACTATCCTTAAAATTTAAAAAATAAAAAATTGAAACACCTTCTCGAAAACCATGACAGCACAGGCTCATCTTCTTCATTTCATTTTGCGACTGTGCATCTTTTGAGAGAGGGAGATCGAGTTTGAACCTATGAGAGAAGGAGACGAAAGTGATTTTGAGATCTAAACGACGGTGGCTACGAGATCGGCGATGAAGAAGGTAGCGATGGTTGCGAGATCCAGAGGTCGTGGCTGTGAGATTGGAGAAGGAGAACGCAACGACAGTTGCGAGATCCAGAGGCTGTTGCTGCGAGATTGACGACGGAGAAGGCAGCGATAGTTGCGAGATCTAGAGGTCGTGGCTGTGAGATCTAGAGGTTGGCAGTTGTGAGATCGAAGAAGGAGAACGCAGCGACGGTTGTGAGATCTAGAGGCTGTGGTTGCGAGATCGAAGAAGGAGAAGGTGTTCGCGTTGGCTGATGGTTGCAAGATTGGAGAAGACGAAGGTGGAAGGCTAGACGTGTAAAAAAAATGGAAGGTATTTTGGTTTAAGAAAATTCAATCCCAAGTTTAAATTTCCAATACTACCTCCCCCATGGGTTTCATTAATCCCATCTACATGGGTTTCATCAGACCCAAGGATTAAAGAATCCATCATACCAAACATTATATCTGTGGGTTTCTTCAATACCAATCCCAGTCCCAACCTGTCAATACCTCATAGCAAACATGGTGTAAAGAGATAGCCCATTTATTTCAAACCCATTAAAGCTGGCTCGTCTCAATTCAAACAATCCTTAAAGCATACAAACTTTGAACTCAACCCCCGAGTCAAGTAGGCTTAAATGGTACTCTTTCCCTCCTCCCTCCTTCCATCTTCCATATCCTTAGCTTGGATCTTTGCTTCAATAGTTAAGACTTAATATATCCTAAAATTTAAAAAAAGTATCTTTTATAAAATATTTTTTATTATATTTCTTCATTGTTTAGGTCAAATTTTAATATTTTAAATTTATTAATTATTATTATTATTATTATTATTATTATTATTATTATTATTATTATAATGATTTTATAATATATTAAATTTCAATCATTGAAGTTGAGATCTAAAAGTGGGGAAGATAGGAAGAGGGTGGGAGAAGGAAGCAAACACCGATTAATTTAGGGTTATCGCCAAGAGGATTATAAAAAGAGCAAGTGAAGAATGATAATAAATTATTTTTCTTTACAAAGAATTTTTTATTTTCAGAAGAGAGATTTGGTAAAAATATATTTTGCTAAAATCAATGCAACCACCTATTTCCATGTGTGATATTTCACCTTAATACAAGCCAAGACAAAATTAATATGGCAAAATAATAAAGCCGTGAAATGAATGTATTGTTGTGCATGCATATCAATCGCCTCCTACGTACAGATAGCATATTTCTGCATTTCACACCTCCAAAGCATAATCTTCTCATATTAAATATACTTTACTTTCTTAGGGGGAAAAAAATAGAGAGAGCAAATGACGAATCATGAAACATTATTTTTCTTCAAAAAGTATATTTCTTCTGCTAAAAGACAAAAATCTTTTTCCTGCAGGTAAAAAAGTAAAATCTCATGTAGTGAATGTCCACGTTGCATGTATACATTAAAAAGAATAAATGATGAAATAAATAGTGCCCTTCTATGACATTCCCACGTGATTGCCTCGTAGTATATAGCTTGCTTTCCTAGCCACAAGAACAGCACGTTCATCAGAATTGAAGAAGAGAAACCATCAAGCTTCTGAGATGGAGAATCGTAGGCTCCAAACTTGTGAACAAAGATCAAGAAGTAAACAGCTTGGAAAAGGTAACTGTTATGATACTGCATATTTGTAGTTTTTGAGTGAAAATCACCCAAAATTCTTGCATTAAAATTTCAATTTTTTTTGGATATAATATTAAACTGTTTTATTGGGTTGTCTTCCGAGAAAGATGTATATACTTACAATGCCAACCCATATAGCTAGTGATTATCGTAGATATGTATGCTGACACTCCACATGTGATAGGAAATCACGCTGAAAAGCAACCTCTGAACAAAGCGGAGCCTGTGGAATCGCTTACCATTACTGAATCCATCAATAAACAAAACCAAAACTTACGAGAGAACTTCAGACCTGGAGAGATAATTGCAACCTTTGAGGAAGCTATGCAA